AGACCAAGGTCCATCTAGTTTGCCTTCCACCATCCTGGCAGTTGCTTGATGTGTTGTGTCCCAAACTGTATACTGTGTCGCAATTATTCCCCCACTCTCCTAAGATCTTTACAGAATCTTCAACATGTTTAGAGTGGAAAGGATGCCTTTTAGCCCATTGGTCAGAGCTCTGAGCAATTCATTTGTTTCCTCTTGTGACTGTGCCTTCCACCTCCACACTTCTTGCTCTCCCACCCTTCTTGATTCCTACCCGAGCTGGGGTGCAAACCCTTGACTGTCCAGTGCCTTGGAATGTCTTCCCGACGTGAATGGCGCAGTATACACACAATTTGTTGTTGTCTCCTTACAGCTCCAGGGAGAGAAGCTGACCTCAGCATAGATAGACATAGATTGGTCCAATGATCCATATCTGAAGTTGTGGGAAATGTTCTATGAACCTTACTACCTGCTGTTTCCCTCCCCGCCCCCCCCTCCCCACACCCTGATAATCGAGCTATATTAAATGCAAGGATTATTATTGTTCTTATTATCAATCTAATTCTGCCCAGCGTAAAGGGCATATTCTTTGAAAGCTCGCATTTAGTCACGCATGCTAGGATGACATCCAACTCTACCTCTCTGCCTCCACCGTTGACTCTAGGACCACTGCTGTCCAGACAGAATATCTGTCAGTCATCAAGTTCTGGATGAGATTTAACTTTCTTCTGTTGAATGTCAACAAGACCGAGGCTCTCCTGCTTGGTTCCTGTTCCTGTCAGCGCCTCCTCACCTCAGGCGCTGACAGTATCACCATCCATGGTTGCACACTCCACCTTGCTAAGCCAACCCGGAACCTTGGGGTCTTGTTTGACCCTCAACTATCCTTTCTACCCCACATCTGTGACGTGGAGTCCTGTAGCTCAGTGGTTAGAGCACTCGCTTTGCAAGTGAGAGACCTGAGTTCAATTCCAGGCAGAGGGCGAAACCTTGGGCAAGTTTCCTTACTCCACACAGAGCCTAATAATAATCCCTCCAAAACCAAAAACAATCATAAAAAATTGGTCATTTTCAATCTACGACTGTTTGCGGGACATTGCTGTGCGCAATTGGCTGCCGCGTTCGCCCACAAATATACAGTCAATTCACTTTACAGTGTGTTCTGTGAAGCGCTTTGGGACGTCCTCCCGACGTGAAAAGCGCTATATCAAATGCAAGGATTATTATTATTATTATTATGACCCGCTCTGCCTTCCCCCACCTCCACAACATCGCCCGGCTCCGCCACTGTCTCACACCGCAGGCCACTGAAACCCTCATACATGCTTTCATTACATCGAGGCTCGACTATGCAAACTCCTCACTTGTCGGCCTCCCCAACTCCTCCCTCCACAGGCTGCAGATCATCCAGAACTCTGCAGCCCATGTCTCTCCTGCACCAGGCTCCATGATCCTGTCAACCCCATCCTCACCCGACTCCAGTGCCTTCCCATCACACAGAGGATACCGTTAAAGATCTTGGTCCTCACCTTCAAAGCCCTCCATGGTCTTGCTGCCCCCTCCCTCTGCGACCTCCTAACCCCCTATCATCCTGCCCCCTCCTTCCACTCAGCGGGCTCTGGTTTGCTTCACATCCCCACCTTGCTCGCCCCACTGTTGGCAGGTGGGCCTTCTGGCACTCTGCCCCCACCCTCTGGAACTCCATCCCGTAATCCCTCTGCCTCGCCCCCTTCCCTTGCCTCATTCAGGACCAATCTCAAGACCCTCCTCTTCGACCGTGCCTTCGATCAACCCCCCTGCCCTCCAGCCTCCCCAATCCGGACCCCCAGCTCGGGTTCGAAACTCTGATTATCCAGCGCCTTGGGACGTGCTCCCAACGTGAAAGGTGCTATACAAATGTAATTTTGTTGTTGTTGTTGTAGACAGATGCAAACACCTAAGCAGAGGTAGTGTGCTCTTGTGTGAGACTGCATCTTAAGATGGTAGGCGGGAGGGTTAAGATCCAGTTGAGAAAGTCACAGATGAAGGATCCTCTCTTTAATGATTGCAACACAGCTTTTTAGTCACAGCCAATATGTGAAAGCGTTACAATGGTGGCTTTGTGCACTTGGAAGGAAAACTGCCCCATGGCTGCGTGGAATGTAGAGCGTGCATTGTAATGTGCCATCTGATCTAATCTGTAGTCTTAAGGCAATGCAGCCTGGATCACCAAATACTATCTTAAATTGGTCTCGCTTGCAACACACAAGGACTAGTGATTCTTATACAACCTGCATAGCTCCATTGAATGCTTATGCTGAGGGGAGGAGAGGGAAGAAAAATACGTAAACACAAAAACGTGTAAAAAGTGCCCCTTAAGAGGACAGTTTGAGCTCCTCTTGCATGGTTGGTTGGTGATTATTGTTGGGTGTAACAGGCTCATTTCTCCATCCTATTTTCTGCCACTTGCAGTAAAGATTGCAGCTAGAGTCATCCCCGCTCTGCCTTAATAATAATAATAATCCTTGCATTTGATGTAGTGCCTTATCACGTCTTTGAGACGTCTCAAAGCGCTTCAACACAGAATGTACTGTAAATTGAATTGACTGTATTTTATGGGTGAAATGCAGCCTCGGGTTTCACTTCCTGTTGCCTTGAGAATGACCCTATGCCACACGTAGGCCAGTTGCCAATTCCTGTTTTTTGTCAAATGTCGTAAGCTGTTTCTTGTGTACGACAGTGGGTGGACGGGCAGGAAACGTGACCTTTTGGTTCTACCAACGATAGGCCTTTCTGTTGCTTTCCAAGAGCTGTTTGTCACATCACAGCAAAAGGTTACAGACGGGTACAAAGGTTCATTTCATTACTCGTCCAGTGGTTATTAATTTACAGCCAATTGAGGTTGCTTGCTTGCCTTTTCACCAGAAGCTGCATGAGAAGACAGTAACCCACTTATGGTGTCCTATAGCTGAATGGTTAGAGCACTCGTCTCACAAGCGAGAGGACCTGGGTTCGATTCCTGGGCAGGGCGAAACGTTGGGCAACTTTCCTTACTCCACACGCCTCTGTTCACCTAGCAGTAAGTAGGAACCTAGTTGTTATTTGATTGACGGATTGCTCTTCTGAGGGTAATAATCCCTTCAAAAAAAATTGAAAAATATATTTATTTGGTTACTCAATTCACAACTGTTTGTGGGACACTGTGGTGCGCAATTGGCTGCCGTGTTTCACCCACAAAACACAGAGTCAGTTCACTTTACAGTATATCCCTGCTGCTGGGATCTCGCTTCTCAGGCCATCTGGTGACTCTGTTGGCCTCTCGGTGTTGTGACAACTTGATCGCTTGATGTCTGACTTGAGATTGTCGTCAATCAGTGCAGCTACTCTGTTCAAAACAGCTTCGAAACCGTGTCCCTGAGCAAGGAGCTGTTTTGCATACCGCAGTGCTTTTTGTCCTGGGAGAGTGTACGTACAGTCATAGCTGAAATTACACTGAGCTTAATGTGGAAGAGTTGCCTGTTAGACGACTTTCAACTGGCCTGAGATTGCCTGGTGCTATTTCACCCAGTCTGCGAGCTGCTGAACCAAAGCATTTTCCTCCTGCCTGATATATATTCTATTCAGGGGACACCTTTCACAATACAACTTCTGTCCTTCCCTTGCCACCCCCGCCAGTTACTGTGCTTTGGCAGCAGTTTACTTCCCAGAAATGGGGAATGTCTTTTTTTCCAGTCGAATATTTTTGATAACACTGCTGTGCGCAATTGGCTGTCGCATTTCGCCCACAAAATACATAGTCAATGGACTTTACAATGTATCCTGTGAAGTGCTTTGAGACGTCTCAACAACGCGATAAGGGACTATATCAAATGCAAGGAGTATTATATATATCTATGTGTGTGTATTTTTGGCATGCAATGCCAAACATTCAAAACCGTTTTCACCTTTCACTATAATTAATTATAGGACTGCGGTTCCCTGTGCTACTGACTCGAGTCCTTAAAGGTTTTCCAAAGAGTCTTGGCTGTTCACGCCCTGGGTTGGTATGATTTTAAGGCAAATTATTTGTAATAATATTAATAATAATCCTTGTATTTGATTATTATTGAAAGATCATTTGATATAGAGCCTCATCACATCTTCGAGACGTCTCAAAGCGTTTCACACAATATACTGTAAAGTGAATTGACTGTATATTTTGTGGGCGAAACGTGGCTGGGGGAGGTGGGGCAGTCATTTAATTCTTCTCTTTGTGTAGCCAAGCTTTGTGATTGCACCTTGATATTCTGGTTGACTAGTTCAGGTGCATTGCCTTCCCAAAGCTCCCGTTCCTCAGCCACGCTGAATGCATGTGTAATGCCACAGTGATCTCTCTCTCTATCCCCAGCAGCTCTCAGTAATAAAATCCGCGACCTTTTGAAGGACAGATCCTTTGGCAGCCTTTCTTTTCCCCTTAATGGCTTTCGGTGCAGCGTTTCCCATATCGAGCAGAATATAGCACGGATAATTACACGGTTGGGAAATAGTAATTGTGACACAATAAGAATTGGGAATATCTGTTGTACCTGTTCGTGTGTTCAGGTGTCACTTATACAGTGTGTTTCCCCCCTCCCCCTACATCCCCCATGAATGCAAAGTATCTGGCCAAAAGAAACCTGGGTACGTAGGAACAGGAGGAGGCCATTCAGCCACTCGAGTCTGTTCCGCCGTTCTGTTGGATCATGGCTGATCTGTTCCTCAAGTCCAATTACCCGCCCTTGCCCCATACCCCTTGATGCCCTGACCTAACAAATATCTGTCCACCTCAGTCTTGAACATTTTAAAGCATCCACAGTCTAGAGCACGTACGCAGAGTTGCATACAATCTACAGCACCAAAACAGACCATTTGGCCCAACTTGTCCATGCCAGTATTTGCCCACCCTCCTACTCCCACCATCCCTGCACTCCAGCCCTCCTGACCCCAAGCCCCAGTTCGGATGCAAATCCTAGTCGCGACAGGAGAGTGACGAAAATGTAAATTATTGTTGTCTTGTGTCCCGGCAGTTTTTGCACACTCACGGTCGGAACGATGGACAGCAGTGGCTACATCCAGTTCGAGGTGGCCGAGTACAGTAACTGTGTGCTGAGCCAGCTGAACGAGCTGCGGCTCCAGGGCAAACTGTGCGACATCATCGTTCACATCCAGGGACAGCCGTTCCGGGCGCACAAAGCCGTGCTGGCCGCCAGCTCCCCCTACTTCCGGGACCACTCTGCGCTCAGCACCATGAGCGGCCTGTCCATCTCTGTCATCAAGAACCCGGACGTCTTCGAGCAGCTGTTGGCCTTCTGTTACACCGGGCGCCTCTCGCTGCACCTCAAGGACGTGGTGAGCTTCCTGACGGCGGCCAGCTTCCTGCAGATGCAGTGCATCATCGACAAGTGCACGCAGATCCTCGAGAGCATCCACTCCAAGTTCAGCATCGTCAGCATCGACTCAGTGGTGGTGGGGGGAGGGGGGGCCGACGAGAGCCCCCCCTCGGGAACCCGCAATGGTGTCCGCGAGGGAGCCGGGCGTTTCCTCAACCCGGTGGACATCTCCCCCCCGTATTACAGCCAAGCGCGGCAGCCGGTCGCGGGCGAGCCTCGGAGCGTCGAGACTCCGTCCGGACGGACCTTCCCGAGTCGGAGTTTGGGGGAGGAGAGGCACTCGGACCCGGGCAGCGGGGGGAGCGTGTCGGAGCACGAGATCCCGATCGAGGGCGACCAGGAGCAGGGGGAGCTGATGGCCGGGAATGCCCACCCCATGGCTGGGCAGATCACGGAGGTCAAGGTCAAGATGGAGAAGGCGGAGAGACCCAGCTGCTCAGACAGCTCGTCAGTGGGCGACGACGGCTACCACACCGAGATGGTGGACGCCGACCACATGGTTGACCGGGTAGTGGCGGTGAACGTGGGCACGTACGGGCCGGTGCTGCAGCAGGCGTTCTCTCTATCCCAGTCCACCTCGCAGGCCACCGGCTACCTCTCCCCCAGCACTGTCACCGGCTCCAGCCCCTCCCGCTCCATGCTCAGCGGCTTCCGGGGCCGGGGCAGGCTGAAGCGGCAGATGCAGAGCGAGCGGGGAGGTGGGGGGAGCGCGGTGGGCCTGGGGCAGGGCGGGGGGCAATGTCAGGGCCAGGCCGGTGACGGCGAGGGCGGGCTAAGCCGGCAGAGCTACGAGGGCAGTGGCCGGGAGCACGACGCCAGGGAACATTGGTTTCCGTACAACCAGAGGCTGATCTGCATCTACTGCGGCAAGTCCTTCAACCAGAAAGGCAGCCTGGACCGGCACATGCGGCTGCACATGGGAATCACCCCCTTCGTGTGCCGCTTCTGCGGAAAGAAGTACACCCGCAAGGACCAGCTCGAGTACCACATCCGCGGCCACACGGACGATAAGCCGTACCGGTGCGAGCTTTGCGGCAAGTGTTTCCCTTTCCAGGGCACGCTGAACCAGCACCTGCGCAAAAACCACCCGGGGGTCACTGAGCTCAAAGGCCGGCCCGAGTCTCCGGACAGGATAGAGACCCAAATGGAACAGAAGGAAGTCAGCAACGAGGAGCCCTCACCTTCCGAGGAGCCCGCCATTGCAGAGGCACCGATTCCCGAATCTTTACCGCTCTCCCACTTGTCCGAATGAGTCGCCTTGTTAGGTTGGGGTGGGTGGGGGGGAGTTGGGGGAGGAGAGGAGGCACAGCAAAATAGCAGAAGCACACGAGAATGAGAAGTAATGCTACCATATACACAATAGGATTTGGGTGATACTTTAGCTTATTACAGTCCGGTTGGCATTTCACCCTTTATACAGCCTCTGTTTCTGGTTATACAGTAATTCCGATCAAATTCTATGTTCTTTTTTTTTTCTCCTCTCTTTCATCTATCGATTCTTTCTCGCTATCCCTCCCTCTCTCCCTCCCTCCCTCCCAGAATTGTTTGGGAAGGCTTTTGGGGGAAACCAGTTTGAGGGCAGCGGGTTAAGGCGCTTGGTTACGAACACGGTTTTGCCAGGGGTGACCTTAACTGACGGGACACCTGGCTTCCCCACAACAGCACCGCGCAGCCCTGCCTGGCTCACTGCTCACCAGATTGTTTCAAGCTTCAAGGTTAAAGGGAGCTAGACTTGGGGGATCCCGAGCCCTGGAAGTCTGGCTTTAAAACCTTGTGTTCCACTGTTGGTGAGGGAACATTAATTTCCCCCTCGGAGTCCGTGGAGCGGAACCATCCTAAACGATGTAATTGTACAACACAGAGGGAGACCACCCTACCTATGTTGTCTGCGAGAGCTCTCTGTGTAAGAAGAGTCCATTTTGTCCCACGCCCCTGCCCTTTCTCCCCAGTCTGACCCGCTGCCCTGTCCACTGTAACCAGACTTCCTAAATATTGGCTGCAGCCGGGGAAACACTTTCCACGTGTGTGACGTATACGACGTGTGTGGAAAGTCTGACCTGGTACTAACTGGAACTTGAGCACGGCTGCTTCTGCTGTGAGTGTCTAGGTGTCAGACTGTGACCTGACTGACTCTCGCTGGTTTCCCCCTCTCTCCAGACTAGCCCCTGAAAACCCCTGGTGTGTTTTTCTTTTATCTGACGCCCTTCCCCATTTAATCTTCTTTGCCTCCTGCTGTGTAGAATTGGTTTGAATGCTTCAGTTTAGCATTTGCGAGAGCAGAGGCGAGTTTTATCAAAATCTACCTGTAAAAAAAAAACTAAAAAAATGATTATTGCTCACTAATACATGAGAGCTATATATAAAGGCATAAAAGCGTTATAGCAAATAGCAATTCTGTGTTCAAAATATTTTTGTACTGTGATAACATTTCAGGGGGTTTTTTTAAAAAAGAAAATGAAAGTTTTTTTTATATATAATCAAATTTTACCATCATTTTAGGTGAGTGTCATTTTGAAATTTAAAAAGCAACATCGTGCACTTATTTTGTTTCAGTCAGCCTTTCCTGACACCGTTTCCAATTTGCGATCCCACATGGTAGGGGTGGCAGAGTTGCGGGGGGCAAAGGATGGCATCCTCTTTTTTGGTAACTGTTATATTAAAAAAAAAGTCAAGAGTATATGGAGTCCTGTAGCTTAGCGGTTAGAGCACTTGCCTCGCAACTGAGAGGACCTGGGTTCGATTCCAAGGCAGGGTGAAACGTTGGGCACGTTTCTTTACTCCGCACGCCTCTGTTTACCTAGCAGTAAATAGGAACCCAGTTGTTAGTCGATTGGCGGATCGCTTTTCCGGGAGTAATCCTTTGAAAAATAAAGAATAATTTGGTCACTCAATCCACGATTGTTTGTGGGGACGCTGCTGTGTACAATTAGCTGCCGCTTTTTGCCCACAAAATATACAGTCAATTCACTTTACAGTATATTGTGTGAAGCACTTTGAGATGTTTCAAAGATGTGTTAAGGCACTATATCAAATACAAGGATTATTATTAACTCTGCTGCTAATGACTCATCCCAGAAGGAACAAAACTTTAACCTTGTAAAGCCTACGAGCCGGGAATAGGAAGGGTTCCAGCTTCAACTCCAGCTTTTGCTAGAAACTTAAACAACCTCTTCATTTGTTTTTGTTCTCTAATTTATTCATCCCCCCGATTCCTTTATTCCATTAATTTGTATTTGGTCATTCACCTCTGGGCTGTTTGCGGGACGTGAATCGGCTGCTGACTTCACCCACAGAATGCACAGTCACTACACATTACAGTAAATTATGCCCAGCGCTGTGAGACGTCTTCCTGACGTGAAATGAGCTATATTCCAATGCAAGGATTATTGTTGTTATTAATAACCTGAGAGTTTTCCAGCCCTCTCTTTCCCGCTTTGTTCATGTCATGTCCTCTGCTGCTAATTTCTCTTTTCCCAGTGACTTGACTTCTTACCTTGCTAGACACACACACACACCCTTGCCTCGTGGTGCAATCGCCCTCCCTTGATTGCTGTGTTGCACCCTCAACCTCCTCAGATCTCTCAACAAGTCTAACCAACAGCTACTGCCTAATAGCTCCCACATACTCCATTCTTGAATGACACACATGTGACATTCTGGTCCTCTCCCTCTCAACCTCTGTGGTTAAAGCTGCTTCCAAGCTGTTCAGTTTCCTTTTCACGTCTACAAACGTTTAGTTATACCAAGCATCCCACTGCTTCGTCTAAAAAGCACAGTCACTGCACTTCGCAGTGAAATCCTGTGAAGCGCTTTGTGACATCTCGGTGATGCGACAAGGCGCTGTATTGAATGCAAGGATTAGTTCTTGTCCAGCCAAGCCCACCTTATCTTAGCTGTGGAGTTGGAAGGAAAGGGGATCTCTCTTGTGTTTAACCATAGTTAAAGTAAGATCATGTGCCAAGAACAAAGAAGGAATCGTGCCCCTTGCAACCTGTCCCCTCTTAAAAAAATCTTTACCCAATGTGGTGCATTCTCTTAGCTATGACTGAGGGGTATCTTGGCTAAGAAACTGCGTCAATACTTCTTATGTGTGTAAAAAAAAGGACAACTTGACCTTTTGTCACGTCTTTTCTGTTTGGAGAGAGAAAGAGAGAGAGAAAGAGCTTTTATTAAATTAAAGGTAACATTTACTTTGGGAAAGAGAGAAAAAAAACTCCCTAGAGTTGGCTGGGCTCATTCCAACCACTCCTTTTGTGCAAAGAAAAACAATATATAACTGTAGTATTACTTCCTGTATAAAACTTTCNTTTTTCTCTCTCCCTCTCATCGGTTTTAAAGTGTACCTCGAAAATTCTCATGAAAAAAAAGTGCAGGATATTTCTGTTGCGCTGGGTGTTAGTGCTGTTAAGATCTGTTTCTCCTATCTGTGGTATGCGATTGGGGAAGGGGGTGAGGTGGAGAGGGTCTGTGTATCTGTAGTCCATTATGTAAAGAAGCCTTGGAGCCCAGTTGGGTTGAGCCTAATGTCAGATACCAGAATCTATTCCATCCCTTCCTTAAACTCTGGAATATAGAGATAAGGGGAGGTGGATTTTTCTCGGAAGTATGCAATGATGATCTATGTAAAGATTGTTTTTCTCTCTGCTTTTCTGTGTCCAAGCCAGGTGTGAATAGAGCCAATCGACCCATCACGATCATTCTAAAACGGTGACTTACAAAAAAGTCTGTACAAGAACTCTTGACAATTTGAGGTTGTTGGGTTTTTAAAAACAAATAGCAGTAAATACTTGCGTTCAAACGGAATTATTGTATTCTGGTACGTCTGACAAATCCCTTGGTATTCAGAACAACAGTCGCGTATACTGAGAATGTACGTTACAGATGCCTCAAGTCCTGGATCAGTGCGCTTTTAATGTGCAGATTTTCAGGTTATTAACGAGTTTGGAAGGCGTCACAAACTCTTAAAAGGGACATTGATGTGCATGGCCTCACCTGCTATTTTTAGGGTTTTACTGCCCTTAATGGTGCTGTTAGATCAGGTTAGAGCTATTTATTGAACCAGCATTAACAATTTTATATATAAATAATATTTCGATGAATACAGTCTCAAAAAAGTTTTTGTTTATATGAAATTCTTTATATGAAACCGCTAATATAATCAGTCTGGAATTCTTAAAGTCAAATCCAAAGTATTGATGGGATGACTGAAGTTGATGTTTTCTGGAATGCATGTAATCTTTTTTGAGGAAACCTGTAGAGTTTTGTTTTAATCCATTTGTTCTGAGCTCCGGCTAACAGGGGTTATTTCTGCCTTGTGTTTCGCCCACAAAGTATATGGTCAATTCACTTTACAATATATTCTGTGAAGCTCTTTGAGACGTCTCAATGACGTGATATTAAGGAGCTATATCGCCCACAAAATATACAGTCAATTCACTTTGCAGTATATTCTGTGAAGCGCTTTGAGACGTCTCGAAGACGTGATACGGCGCTGTATCAAATGCAAGGATTATTATTATCATGTCCCTTCTTGAAGCAAATGGGGAACTCACCTTTGTTGGCTGGATTGGTGAAGAGCTAATCTGATTGTATCATTGCTTCTCTCAAAACTTTGATGATAACTCGGAAGAGCTGTTTTCCTAGGAAGCTAGCATTTATAATACTTTGTTCTAAACATAAACCACCAACAACGAGCAATTCTAACGAGCAAAAAGACGGACTGGGGCAGTGGAGAGGGAATAAAATAAAAGCACAATCGGATCCAGCAAAATAAGCCTATTGGCCAGCCTGATCTGCCAGGGTTTTGAGTTTTCACCTTTCTGCATTAAAATAAAACCTCTGACACCACTACTGCTTACTCCCTGAACCCAGTCAGAAATCCCCTACCCCCCTACCCCCCACCGTCTTGCTCTAAGTGAAGCAATAACTTGTGTCCTTGGAAAAAAAAATCTCTTGCTCACGGAATCTGTTCCTTAAATCGACCAACAACCTCCCCCACCAAAAACTATAGAAACTTTAGACGTTTGAAGATTACTCTCTCACTGGTGTGTTGGGAGTTGGGGTACATTGCTGCCAATCAAACCCCGAGGGGGGGGGGGGGAGATTTCTCAGTCTTTCCGAGTTTCTAAATGTTGCGAGCTGAGCTCAGAGAGTGATTGGAATAGAATGAGGAAGTATATATATATATATATATATATATAAAATTGACAAGACAGAGAGTATTGCAATTATGTGTAGGTAAGCTTTTTATTTGAAGCGTTTGTGTGTGTGTGCATATACAGTATAAATATATATATATTTTTAACAAAGCCTGATTTAGACATACTCAAGACTGTTTTAAGAACCTGTGTTCACACTTCATTTTCGTGCAATAAAAACAAAACATTCATATTCAGAACAAGACATTCATACACTGTCCCAAAATAAGCTACTTTCAAACAGTTTAACATGTAACACGTTCATCTACACGTTTCGGGTAGGTAGCACTTTTACTCATTGTTTTTTTGGACCATTGCATTATAATCAACCAACCAAAAAAAAATGTATTTCATGTCTCAACAGTAAAGCTTTTGTCCTCATTTCTTCCACACAAGGAACTACGAGAGAGGAAAGAGCTTAAATGGCTTTTTTTTAAAAAGGAAAATTATTTAACATCATGTGGGGAGGGATTGGGGGGGGGGGGGGGGGTGCAGTGGTAGGGGAGAGGTAGGTTTAAATGGGCGGAGAGAGGGAGTCTCAATTAATGTGATCTTTTAGAACCTCAAACACAACACATACGCTGCTAGGATCGTCACAGTCCAGAAGGGGGCGTTAATTTTTAGCCCCTTTTAGACCTGGACGTCTTCTGCAAGGCCATAAATAACATGAGTGAGTGAAGTAAATGAAGCTAAGTCAAGCTGATGCTCTGGCACTTGATAATTAGCCATTCTGGATGTATTTTCTAGCATGAATGCAATCTATTTATTCAAAAGTATATGTTTTTCCTCTTATCCTATTAGCTGTATCTGACTGTGATCAATTAATATTTCAGTGCTGCTTAATTATTGTTTCGATGTTAATCCTCTCTAAAAAAAACATCTGTACTTCCATTTTGTTGCCTGTAAACAGCTTTTGTATTGTTTAAAGAGTAATAAATGGAAAGTTGCCGTTTTTTTGTAAATAAAATCTTTTGCTGTTATAGAATACAAAACACTGTGTTGCTCTTCAGATCGACATGTTGGGGAACCCATTCAATAGACATCCTCACTACGATGTACTGCTTATCTGTCAATGATAGGGAATTGGATATGTACAACAACAAATTACACTTGTATAGCGCCCTTCAGATTTGAAAGACTCCCAGGGAGCTGGGCAATGTACTTGAAAAGGAAAAAATTGCAAGGATGGAGTAGGAGCGGGGGAGTGAGACTAGTTGGCTAAGAACCGACACAGGCACGATGGGCCGAATGGCCTCCTTCTGTGCTGCTCGTCAGTGGTTTGGCCGTCAGCCCTTACCCTTTGGAATTCCATCCCACATTCGTTTTGCCTCGCCCCCTCCCTTCAAGCCGTATTTCAAAACCCTCCACTTCAACCGCGCATTGGATCACCCTCCCTGATCCCAAGCCCCCTCCCCCCCACTCCCAATCCCTGACTGTCCGGCGCCTTGGGACGTCCTCCCGACATGAAAGGCGCTATGCAAATGTAATTTTGTATTGTA